GGGGGGAGAGGTGTCCCCGGGGAATGGGGGGGTGTGTGTGTGTGTGTGTGGGGGAGAGGTGTCCCCGGGGAATGGTGGGGTGGTGCTGTAGAGGGGAGATGCTCCTCAGATTTGAGCGGTGTGGGGGGGAAAGATGTCCTCAGGGATTGGGGAGGGGGCGTGGTGGTATAGGAGCCCCTCAGGTTTGGGGGTTGTGGGGGGAGAGGTGTCCCTGAGGAATTGGGAGGGCAGGTGTAGGGGGGTGGTGCCCCTCAGGTTTGGGGGAGTGTAGGGGAGGAGAGGTGTCCCCAGAGATTGGGGGGGGGGGGGTTGCGGTTGTGTAGGTGCCCCTCAGGTTTGGGGGTGTTTGGAGAAGATTTGGTCCTGAGGATGAGGATTGGGAACAGTGGGTTGTTCGATGTTTGCTGGGTGGGTGGGTGGAGATTCCTGTCATCGTTACCCGCACTCTGTTGTTATTTAGCAGAAACCTGCTCCACAGCTCGGAACAATCACAAGGATTCTCCATACAGATGCCTGACGAGATGGAGAGTCCTCAGGCTGTTGTAGGCTGTATCATTTGCTGCTCTCGAATCATGTCGTTGAATTCTGAATCACAGGAGGCCCGGGTTCCAATCAGCAGCTGCAGTCATGGCCAGGCTTTGAGCCACACAAACCCTAGTCGGTCATTTCTACTCATTCTGTTCTATCTCTTCATGTTGAATATCCGGTGAGTTACAAATCAAACCCCCTATTAAATGTTCACTGACTTACAAGTCAAACTCTGGGAGAGTAACAGCCTGCTAATGATCCATATATTAGACAGAGGGAGGACTTTCTTCCACACAGAGGGTGGTGCATATATGGAACGAGCTGCCAGAGGAAGTGGTAGAGGTGAGTAAAGTTACAACATTTGGAAGATATTTGGACAGGTACATGGATAGGAAATATTTAAAGGGATATGAGCCAAATGTAGACAAAGGGACTAAATTAGTTTGGGAAACCTGGTTGGCAATGGCACGTTGCGTCAAAGGATCTGTTTCTGTGCTGTATGACTCTTATAAATCAGCCAGGATCCTGCTTCTGATCACTGTCCAGTGACCCTGCCTACAGAAAAGGGAAATCAGCAGAGCTGGTATGAATGATGTGTAAAATACTGGCAGTCATGACCCTTGTGTTATTATCTTTCAGGTTCAGTGAATCCCTGACATCACATGGAGGAAAAGATTCAGGTACCTTCCTACTTTGTTCAAAATCAACAATTGGCATTTTGTTAGAACCTTACTGGGTAAGAACATTCCTGGTGCTTCACACGAACATTATAAGATGCATGTAAGGAAGTAACTGGGACAAGTAATTAAGAGCTCAGCTTTAAAAGGTATCCTCAGTATTTGGAAGGAGAAAGGCATTTGAAGAGAATTCCAGAATCAAAGCAGATGTTTCAGAACCCAAGAATCAATCCCTCACAGCGTAAACCCTCCCTCACAGCGTGGTGTGTGGGGTCTCAAAGCATCTGGATTCAGCAGTGACTCAAGCAGGCAGATCACCACCACCTTCTAAAGGGGCAATTAGGGATGGGCAATAAATGCTTGTGCCAGCCAGCGTCACCCACATTCCAAGAATAGATTAACAAAAAACTTCAATAACTCTGCCTCCATTGTCCTCTGAGTAGAACATTTCAGACATTAACTTCACTGCCTTTTCTGCTGGACAGGGACAGTGTAGAGGGAGCTTCACTCTGTATGTACCCCTGTGCTGTCCCTGTCCTGGGAATGTTTAATGGGGACAGTGTAGAGGGTGCTTTACTGTGTATCTCGCGCTGTGCTGTCCCTGTCCTTAGGAGCATTTGATGGGAACAGTGTAGAGGGGATTATTACTTCCAGTTTAGAAGAGTAGAAGGACCTTTACTCTGTATCAAACCCCTTGCTAAACCTGTACTGGGAGTGTTTGATGGGAGATAGCGTAGAGGGGAGCTTTACTTTCAGTTTACAAGAGTGGAGGAAGCTTTACTCTGTGCCGAGCCCTGTGCTGTCCCTGTAGTTCCATCTTGCTATCTCTTCACAGTGAGCACCATTTCAGATGCCCCGTGTTGGCAGGTTGAGCAGTTCCTGGTGGCAGAGAGCTGTAAGGAGTGCACACGTTTTGAGGTGGTAAGTGTCCTGTAAGGCCACAGCTGGAAGTTTGGGGTTAGGAGGGGGGGTTGGGGCCCTGTTGGGCAGGTGGGGGGACATGGCGGAATGAGACAGCTGAGCGATTTGATTCTCACAGCCTGACTTCTGTGTTGTTTATAGAAAACCCGAGAAGCCTGCAGCAGAACAGGATTTGTGGAAAAGGTCAATTGCTCAGAGTCCCAGCGAGAGGAATATAAAAGGTAGAAATTTCTGGGTTCTTTGTTCATGGGGATGATGTGGATTGCCGTGTCTGGAATGGAGGTGGGGTGGATGGTAATATTCAGTTGCACATTTGTCGTGTGGACCGTTTGCAACTCTGACCTGTCCCATTGAGCCTGTTTCAGAATGCTGTACTGTGTGCCCCTGCAGCTGCCGCTCCACACTGATGGAGGAGACTCTATTCTGGAGATTCGAAGGGACCATGTTCACACTATCTGTCATCTTCGCTGTACTGGTCATTCACCGTCAGAGAGCACTAGACAGACTGGCCTCTGAAAAGGTCCGAAGACAAATCGAATCAATTTGACGTGTTTGCTGTCTCATGTCAAACACTCTGACAGACTGTGGATGCAACTGAATACAAACAGGAAAGAACAGAGTGGAGGACTAGAACCAGTACTATCTAGCATTCTGTGTAGACCTGCCTCCGATCCAGTGCATTCCGACCAATTCAATCCAATCATCTGTTCAGTCCACGATCAAAATACACGACAATTATTGCCTCAGCCACCCTTGTGTGGCTCCATTAGAAATGATTCCATGGTTAAGGTGATTTGTGTGTGTGTGTGTGTGTGCGCGTGTTTGTTAAACATGGCCTTCTGTAACAAAGTTGATGGTTTAGGGTGTAATTCACCAGCACACACCCTGAACCTGTGATTACTGATCCCAAGAAGTGATTCTCTCAAACCAGGGAAAATAACCTGCTGCACAGAACATAAAGAGGCTGAAATCAAATGTCACTCTCAGGCTGTGTAGACTGCGGGGTCACACTGACAACTATTTAGGGCTGAAGTAGCAGAGGGGAGCTTTACCTTCAGTTTAAAATAGAGAGAACATTCCTCTATCTAACCCCATGCTGTCCCTGTCCTGGGACTGTTTGATGGGGACATTGTGGACAAAACTTTACTCCATATCAAACCCTGTGCTGTAGAGAGAGCTTCACTGTGTATCTAGCCCTGTGCTGTCACGGTCCTGTTAAGGTTTGATGGGGACAGTGTCAGGGGGACCTTTACTGTTGTCGCTAACTCTGTGCTGTGAGTGAAAATGGGAACAGTGTAGAGTTGCTGTCATGTAGCCAGTTTCCACTATGTTTAGTTCCTTGTTACTAATGTTACTATCTGGCCTCAGTGATGCTTGGAGCTCTTTTGTTTCAGTTTATTTCAGAGACAGGATGACATCTCTGCTTACAAAAGCTGAGTAAACACTCTGCTTAAACAGTGATAGCAGTCTCTGGTTTACCTTCCAGAGGTGGTGGGTACCTGCTGAGGAAAGCATTTCTGACTTTTTTGGGTGGAGCTGAGAAACAGCAATGAGACGCAAATATCAGTGTAAGCTGTTTGTGGGAACACCAAACTGTAATGCTAGAAATTTGTTGGGCACATTATAAACTAAAATATTTGAGGGGCAATACAGTACAAGTGGGTGACTTTAATTTGTATACGATTGGATTCACCGAATCAGCCCTAAGTGCAGAGGATGAATTCCTGGGGTGTGTATGAGATGGAGCTGGACGTTGAAGACCCAACTAAGAATTGAGCTGTCTTGGATTTAGTGTCGTGTGATAGGAAAGGGGTTAATTAACCATCTTGATGTAAAAAGACTCTTTGGGAAATAGTGACCATAATAAACGTTTATATGAAGTTTCGATAAGATATAGTTCATTCTGAAACAAGGGTATTGAATCTGTTCAAACAAATGGAGCGCTATGAGAAACAAATTGGTTACCATGGATTGGGAGAATACCTGAAGAGCTTTAACAGGTAGTGGCTAATGTCTGAAGTGATACTGGAAGGTCTAGAACATTCCTCTAAGGCAAAATGGATGTAAGAAAAAAAAAGTTGAAGATTACATGAGATCAAGGGGCTTAGATAAATGCTAGAACAGAGTTATAGAGCTGTACAGCACACAGACAGACCCTTCAATCTAATTCATCCACGTGGACCAGATATCCTAAATTAATCTTGTCCCATTTGCTAGCATTTGGCCCATATCCCTCTAAACTCTTCCTATTCATATACCCATCCAGATGCCTTTTAAACATTGTAATTGTACCAGCCTCCACCACTTCCTCTGGCAGGGGCTGAATTCTCAGTGACTATTTTGCCTGTTCTCACAAAAGGGGTGTTACTAGCAGTTAAAGAAATGGGTGGAATGTTCAATAAAATAAACAGGGAAGTACTGGAGAGCAGGCCTAAAAGGTGGATAACTCATGAGGATTAAAAAAATTGTATCCTACGGAATTAAAGGAAGCCAAGGAGGATAATAGCAGATGCCCCGAGAATCATTTTGCAATTCTCACTGGATGCAGGTGAGATACCAGAGGATGGGGGGGTCTGTGAATGTTTTGCCACTATTTGCAAAGGATGCAGGGGATGGGTCAAATCAATATTGGTTGGTCACTCCAATCTCAGTGCTGAGCAAATTATTACAATCATTTCTGAAGATAAACTGTCACTTAGAAAGGCATGGATTAAATCAGGACCTATCACCATCCCACCTACCTTCCCCAGCCCCACCCCTCCCCTCTATTTATTTTCAGAACTCCCTTCCCCCTCCCCCTCCCCCTCCCCCTCCCCCATTTCTGAAGAAGGGTCCTGACCCGAAACATCAGCTTTCCTGCTCTTCTGATGCTCCCTGGCCTGCTGTGTTCCTCCAGCTGCACACTGTGTTATCTCTGACTCCAGCATCGGCAGTTCTTATTATCTGAGGGAGTTAAAGCAGGATCACATGCTTTATTAAGGGACGGTCATGTCTTACTGAGTTTAATTAAAGTTATCAAGGAAGTATCAAGTTAGACCAATGAGGAAAGCGCAGCAGATGTCGTCTACATGGACTTTAGTAAGGCATTTGATAAAAAAGTCTCACAGCACACTAGTCAGAAAGGTTAAAGCCCATGGGCAACGTGGCGGAGTTGGCTCAATGACAGGAAACAACAGACAATGCTTGATGGATATGTATGAGAGTGGAAAGCAGTTTCCAGTGTTCTACAGGGCTTCAAGGTATGACTAGGAAATTTGTAGGGAAAATTTGGCCAGGTAGTTGATGAAAAGACTGACTATTGACTGCAGTAAGATATCAGTGGTGTCTGGTTGAGTAGGTGGAAAAGTGACAAATGGAAAACGAAGAAAGCAATGGGATACATAATAAATACCAGGGGTACGTGGTATTGAGAGGGATAAGGGAAGTCGGAACAAGTGCATGTCCACAGCTCCCTGATGGTGGCAGAGCAGGTGGACAAGGCAAACATATGAGCTGCTTTCCTTCAAAGGGCAAGGTATTACAGCAGTGATGTAACTGTATGAGACACTAGGTCACGGGTGGAGATTTGTGGACAATTCTGGTCCCCACATTACAGGAAGGATTTACACAGGGGATTTACAAACTTGTTACCAAGCTGTAAGAGAAGAGTCATTAAGCTAGGATTGTTTTCCTCCAGAACACAAGCGTCTTAGGGATGACTCACTTGAGGAGTTCAAATTAATGAGGGGCTTGGATAGACTGGATGGGAAAGATGTATCTAGCCTAGCAGAGAGGTCTGTAACCAGAGGCACAGATTTAAAGTGTTTGGGAGGAAGGTCAAAGGGAACAGGAGGAAAAACTATTTCACCCAGTGGGCAGTGGAGACAGAAACCCTCATTTTGGAAAAAGTTAGATTGTCCCCTGAACTACTGAAGGCTGCAGACGTGCTGGAAGTGGGATTAGAACTGGCAGCTAGTTTAAGCCAGTGTGATGGGCTGAACAGCCATTTTCTATTCTTATGGTTTGAGAAACATGTTGGAAATTTTTGAGGACATTACATGTAGCATAGACCAAGGAGAACCAGTGAATGTGGTGTATTTGGATTTTGGAAGGTTGTAAATGAGGTCCTTCACAGGTGGTTAGTAAATAAATTAGACTGTGTGGCATGGGGGGAGATATACGAGTATGGATTGATAGGCAGAAACAGAGCAGGAATAAACAGTGTCCCCAGCCACTTGGGAAATGTGCTGATTCTCAAACCCCACTACTTCCAGTAGGCACTGCAAAATGTAATGGCTGAAAGTACACACAGTCCCCAATTTATGTGTCTGCAGAAATCAGGATAACAAAAGAAACTCTGACCAAGCTCCCATACTTAACAAAAACTACTGTTTATTACAAATAAATAAATTCTATCCACAGGTAAGCGAAGCTGTGCACCATCAAGATACAACTTCTACTCATTGAAACTTTATCTGCCCTTTTAAAACCCCTATACACACACAACAAAAAAGTGCTATGGTAGAGGAGGGGAAAAAACTGGGAACACAATTTAAAGGGTTAGGTATGGAGACATTCCTTTGCTTACCCAGACCTTGTTTTCCAATCTTCATGATCTTTAACTTCATAGCAGGCACAGCGCATTTGGTACATGAAATACAAAGTCTCTCAGCTACTGATTAAGGGCTTCTGGTGGGAAAAAATAACTGGCTTTCTTCAGGAACTTTTACCACAGAATGATGGAGACACTCAGAACCTACTCCTCCAGCAGTCCTGGGACTTCTCGCCCTATATTGTCAACAGTCAAAGTGTTCCCCTGCCCAGAAGCCAAAGTGCTGTTATCGCACTGGCATCTCACATTGGCACAGACCAATCAGTAACTTGCTGCTGGCTGAATCTCACTCTGCACATACATACCACCGGTGGTGAGGTGTCTTATCTCTCCTCTCCCACTGCTTGAACAAAGCAGCAGTACAAAGACAACTCTCAATGAGCTCCAGTAACTTGTTTTCAGAGGTGCAGCCACTCCTTAGTTTTAAAAACAATCCTTCTCCTATTTTATTCACAAAGAATCTGAAAAGTCTTCACAAATGCATCATTCTCAGGGTAGCAGGTTGTTACTGGCCAGGTACAAGGATCAGTGCTAGGTCCACACTTTTCTGAGGGGTGATCTCACTCAAGCACAACATCCTCTCAGGGTACGACATGGATTAGAGGGAGATCAGACGTCGCTCCTGGCTGATGACAGGAAAAGGGGACAGGCCAGTTCACACTGAGCTGATGAATTTCTTCACATTTAAGCAGGTTAATCGATGAAATTCTCTGCCCCGGGGGCTGTGGAACCTCAATGACTGAGCAGCTTCAAAACAAAATCAACAGGATTCTGGAAAGTAATGACATTAGGGAATATGGAGGTAATGCAAGAATACCATGCAGAGACGATCAGTCACAGTCTACAATGGCAGGGTAGGCTTAATGGCATACACCTATTCCTCTGAGCCATCTATCAGATGTTAAATCTAGACCCTGCCAGCCAGAGTAAAAGATGCCACATCCAGTGTCAAAGATGATGGGTCTTGTACCAGTATTTACCTTACGAACTTAGTAACTTGTCATCATCGGTAGCATGCACAGTAGATGCTGCAAGTATCAGATAAGAGGACCTGGTGTTCCGATGACAGGACTGAGGGGTCTCTATGTCACTCTGAGGCTCTGCTATCTACCATCACTGCTGTCACCTGCAGCCCTGTCACTTGCCAATAAATAAAAGGTCAGGAAGAACCTGGCCTTATCACCAAGACAGATGGTGTGAGCACACAGTCCATTATGATTCAACTCACAGCAAACACTTAGAAATGGGAGGGATAGAACAACGGGCCAGTATAAATAGAGGAGAGACAGGGACTGCACAGAATTAGTGGGGGAAGGACAGGACAAGACAGGAACAAGAGGGCAGCTGGAAAACAAATTTACCTCCCAGGACGCAGGAAATACTTGACAACTTAAAGTATCACAAATAGAAATTAGTGAAGGAGAGAGGGAGACAGCGAGTGTACTGTCTGTCACAAGACTAAGGTACAGTTGCAGATAGGGGTTGTGGGAAGGACAGGGGGTAGACAGGGTGAGGAACTGCGAGGATAACACAGACCAGTGACAACAGGATCGTGAAGAGGGTAAAGACAGAGAGATAGCGAGTGGAAGAGGCTGTGGGAAAGCCAACAGGTTGAGAGACGGGCAAGGGCACAGATAGGGTGATTTGGTACATACAGCCAGAAAGGTTGACTGATTTATGCAATGATGCTGCTGCTGCTGAAGTGTGCAGTGAAATTTTTGTGCCTAGCACTGGTTCTGTTTCCTCACGCCATACACACTGCTGGAGAATGCTTCTTCAATGGCAAAGGTGAAAGTAATCTCTATAAACCAGGGGTATTGGAATGGGGGATATGCTGCCAACAGGGCCGAGAAACAGCTTCGTTTTACATCAAACCGTATCTATCTCTCTCTCTCTATATAGCCACCTGCGAACACAAAGGTGTCAGCTTGGAGACTGGAGACACTTGGATTAATGAAGACTGTTACCAATGTATCTGCCTGAACCCCTTTGGAGTCGGCTGCTGTGACAAGTGAGTAGAAGCCAAAACAGCAGGAGAGTCTGATCGGGGGTGGGGAGAAGCGCGCATGTACAGGGAGCTTTCCTCTGTATCTAACCTCATGCTGTCCCCACCCTGGGAGAGTTTGATGGGGGGGGGGGGGTGGAAACAGTGTAGAAGGAGCTTTACTCTGTATCTAACCTCGTGCTGTCCCTGTCCTGGGAGTGTTTGATGGTGGGGGGGAGCAATGTAGAATGAGCTTTACTCTGCATCTAATCCTGTGCTGTCCCTGCCCTGGGAGTGTTTGATGGGGTATGTAACCTCACTGTACTTGTTGCAGTCTGTGGTGCGAGTTGTGGGATATGCTCTCACAATCTGTGTTCCCTTATAGAGTCTCTCAGCCCGTCGATTACCCTGACTGGTGCGAAGTCATTCAGCAACCTAACTCCTGTCTTCTAGCAGTTGTTATGAAGGCCAATCACAAGATCCCGTGCATCAGTAAACCCACCATGGGACGCCTCCGGCCTCAGAACGGATACAAGGAAGAGGAAAATCCATTCTTTGAGCAACTGAGGGCCTGACAGGAACCAGCCTCACCCTGCTCAGGCTCAGCCGGTGAACCATTCAGTATCCTGTTAATATCCTGGCTGTATTCCCACTCCCAGGGAATTCCCGATTTCACATTCAGCCACCAAATGGGATTATGAAAAGGGGAAGGGGGTTAGTGACCTGTGATCTGTGACAATCAAATCACCATCGAGGCCAATTTTGGTGACACAGAATGATACAGATTTAACAGTTAGATGGTTAATTTAATCACGTAGATTCCACCTATGTACAAAACACTCCTCTATGTTCAGGATCCCCACCTGTGGTTTGTTCCTTTTTGATGCAATAAAAAAAATCTGCAGAAATACCTTACTCTGTGTTTACACCATGTTGTACCTGTTCTGCGAGCGTCACGTGAGCTTTACTTTCAGTTTAAAAGAGTAGACTGTGCTTTACGTAGCCCCTGTGCTGTTCCTCCCCTGGAAATGTTTGATGGGGACAATGTAGAGTTTTCCAACCCCAGGCTATCCCTGTCCTGATATCGAAGGACATTTACTTCCCTTTTAAAAAAAAGAGTAGAGAGCGCTTTACTCTTTAGCTAACCCAGTGCAGACTCTTTCCTGGGAGTGTTTGATGGGGACAGTGTAGAGGAGCTTCATTCTGAATCTAAGCTCTCAATCTGCAGTGAACAGCTCTGGTAATCAATACGGGTGACACTTTCAAACCACAAGCAGCTGCTTTCACTTTCGACCAAACAAAGAAAGCGATAAGATGTTGAGTGTTTAAATATTCAGAAGGACAATGTTTGTGTTGCAACCTGATCATATGCTGGGTCTTGGAAAGTTAGTCACTGGCTGCAGTTGGTGTGCAACCTGTAACCAGATCCCACCAGGATAAATCCACACCAACAGAGCTGCTCCAACTGCCACTGCTACGCACCCAGTCCCGGAGTTACAGCTGCAACCCAGGACTGAAAAAAAAATCCACCACTTCCTCAGGGAGTACGATGTTAATGAGGTAACTGTCATTTTCAATCAGCAGCTTCAACATAAACAACTGGAGAGGAGGCAGTGGCAGAGCTCATCACTCTTATCCCTCAGCCCCAATACCTGATAAAACCGCAGTTTGTCCGGGTAGGGGGTACAAATGGAGTTTGGCAGGTGACCAGCAATTGGAAAACCCTACAGATTAACGGGCAAGTAGAGGTGTCTGTGGAGAAGGGGCACAATAGAGGGGGGGTAGAGTGGGTGCTGGTGGGACGAGGCTCCGGAGCAGCATAAGACATCAGGAGGGGGAGTGGCTGCCATGGCTAAGGGATCCTCGGGAACAAGAAAACGTCCAACTTCTCACCATAACTCCCCTCACCCCAGTGCCACCCTTGACTGTACTAGCCAGGAGCTGCTGGGCTCAGAAAGGTGGACTAGCAGCTACAGAAGAATTGACACCCAGCTCTGTCTTCACTTTCTCTTCAGCACCTGGAGCAGAAGGGAAAGAGGTGGTGGTGGGGTGGGGAGGGAAGGGGAGGG